TTCTAATTGTGGCTTTCCTTAAGGATATTTTTTCCCAGGGCAGTAGGACTTTTAAGTAAGGTATTATTTTCACATTTAATAGTTCCTCTTTTAACCATCTTTCAGAAATTTGATACTATCTTAAATTATTAGCCAAATTCTCAAATATGGTCACAGATGATAGTTTATAAAATAAAATCTATGGAAAATCCCTCATTTGTTCCTCTGAATCGGGTTCTTTCCCCCCTTGATTTGAAGAAGGGGCTAAGCTGCTTTCTGCTTTGTTATATGTCAGCATGAATTTTCAATAGAACAAGAAAGTAATTTTAGCATCCATAATGACTTTCGCTACGACTGAGTCGATTAACAGCATGAAAAATGAGTATTTGAGTCAGCCTCCCCTACAGGATTCCAAATGCAGATCCACTGGTCTCTGCAGCTCTGCCAACAGATCTGTTATGTTTCTTCAGCTTAGGGTTTTTCAGAATTAAACCCAACACGACTGTGCATTGAGAAACAAATCCACGTGCCCTCTAAACAGAATTCTGATGTACAGCTTATGGCCTTCCTCCTACCTCCCAAAGCCTGGCACAGACTGCGGACATGCTTATTCCAGAAGAGTTTGTCAGCCGTTAAAATAAACACCAGCCTGTACGCCCTGAAACAAATATACGCTCAACACAAAACACACAAGAAAGTGAGGCAACAGAAGGCAAATAAATTAAATTTATCGTTCTTACCATTTTCCCTTTTTTTAAAACTTTCCAAAGAATTATATGGGGGGAGGTGTAAAGGATATTTGCCACAGACAGGCTCTAGTGTTCCTTATTAATTCACGGCAAGTCTATTAGCAAGCAAAGGTTAGTTGATGTAAATTCTGTGGGCCAAGCATCATTTTTGTAGTTTATTGATTAAGAACGGTAGTAGGACCCTGTCAATATGTGGCTGTGTTTTTTTACAAGACTTCTAAGTACCATAAATCAAACTGTATTCCCCAAAACACAAGTGCTGGAAACAGACCTGATCCCAGCTGGCCTCCAAGGCAGCTGTTGCGTCGAATGGCCCCCAAGTGGATCGGCAGTCAGGTCTCCTTACATCCCCAGAAGGAGGCACAAAACAATGATCACACTGGCTGCCTGTGGGGCGGAGTGGCTGGCAGAAGGTGGGCATACTCCCCAATAGCCTGTTGTATCTTTTGAATTTTATATCATGCAACTGTATTCTTTATTCAATAAATAAAAATTTAGGAGTGGTTCTGCTTTATTCGCTTAATGAAAACAACTATGGTTCAAAAGCTCTATTGTTTTAGAAGGAAACAAGTCAATCTTAAAGGCAAACTAGAAAAAAACCTAGATAACTACAAGTTTATACATCTCAACTCCCGAAGGCCTTCTGTTGCTACATCTTGGGCAAAGAAAGGAGACTGTAGGTGGCTGACAAAATCACCCCATTAACTGAAAATCTGCAGCCTTATGCTAAATTCCCCCATTCCCTAGGAGATTGTTTCCTTAACTCGTAAGCAGGAACGTGTTTATCAGATTGCTGCCTTACTAGGATTGCTGCCGATAATAAGAGCCACCACCTCACAACCATTGGGAGCTTGGTCTTGGAAGATGGAGTCAGGCCCAAATTCTGAGCAGCTGGAAGAGAAGGGCCAGAGGACCAGGAGGGGCTTGAATGGCCTGGGGACAGGGTCTGGCTGAAGGACATCCATTCATTCATACAAAAAAATGCCATTCAGAGGATGTACTTGGCAGGCCATGCAGGCAGGGGGAGACTGGCATAAAGGAGATACAGCACAGGCTAACCCAAAGCAAGCCCAAGCAGGTGGAACTGGGGGACTTGGAGTCTGAGAGTCAGGAGCAGGCGGAGCCAGTATGGCCTGCAGCATCCAGAGACAAGTCTCTTCTAAGTCCCTAGGAACTGGCCAACGCAAGATAGGCCAGGTGTCAGAGATCTGGATTCCCTGATAGTTACAAACACAGAGACTGCCATGCAGAGCAAACCCGGGAGCCTGTTCCTAGAAGTAGATCATGGGATCAGAGTGAGGCCAGCACAAAGTGGCCTTTACATTGCTGTACGAGGTCTGGGGAGCTGCAAAGTCCTCTAAGAGAGTTCATCCGAGAGCTGGGTCTCTGCAAGTGGAGGAAAAGGAAGTTGGATGTGGAGAGCTAGGCAAGAAGAGAGAAGACAACAAAGGCACGTCTTGCCTCCTGAATATGCAGGATCCTAAAGAAAGTTTTCCAGATTCTTTTAATTTACCCCAAGACCACATTTCCTTAAATAGATCTATGTATGTGTATTGCCTTTTAAGTTGTGTATTTATTGCCATTTTGAAGGTTTGAAGGTTACTGCGAAGTATATAATGTAACTCGAGAACAAAGTAGGGTTCTGTTAAAGCTCTACCTTCACTTAGATTCATGCCGTATTTTCTGCCTCACCATAGCAAATTTTCCCAAAAGCAAAACTGCTGCTGCTCCTTAAAAGATCTGTAATCCTATAGCTCTGTCAAGTAGATATGTCAGTTTGGGGGTGATGAAAATGTTCTAGAATTAGATAGCAGTCATGGTTGCACAACCTTGTGAATATACTAAAAACCACTGAACTGTGCCCTTTTAAAGGGTGAATTTTACGGTATGTGAATTATATCTCAATTTTTAAAAAAAGAAGACATGTCTAGGTATAAAGTCCCGGTAAGCTTAGGAGAGAGAAATGAATTCTAAAGAATAATCTGTGGAAATCTGTTTAAGAGCTAGGACATCTGGTCATCTCTGGAATCAGTGACTTCCCCATTTTTGCCGGGAGGTATAAAGCTCCTAAGTGAGATGATGGATGGGTTGAATGAATCACAGCCACCCTCCTAAACGTGTAAACAAACTGTCCATGTGTTCAGGTCAGATGATGCTCAGCACGAACCAGGATTTAGAGCCCAGCACACAGCCAGCAGCACCTGCCAGTGCTCCCAAGCAGTTGCTTCAGGGGTAGCCCTTTTACCAAATTCCCCTAAAAAGAACCTGTTGGTGTATGTAACACAGATGAAGTATTCGCTTATCTTTCTGAGACCGCTGCAGTTTTCTTATGGGTCAGAAGCCATTGGTTACCTTAATCACTGAAATACACCCAACCACAGCTCTCTTGTTGACTTTTGTCATCAGCGTTGCAGTAGTGTTCGTACATCATGAGGCTCAGATAAATCCCATTTGTTAGACAAAATTCGCGTTAGCCACATTCAGCTGTACCATTTTGCCTCTGTTCCTCTTTCTTCCGTGTGCGTGCATTACTGTGCTAGACACAGACAAGGGCTGCCTGCAGAGAAATGGGTTCCTATAAAAACAAAGAGAAAAAGAGACCAGAAAGGAGAGGTGCTGTGATTTCTGCTGGGCTCGCTGCGCTATCCTTCAGATCCTGTCCTGTAGCAAATGCATGGGGAGCATCCAGTGTCCACAGGGTCTGGGAAGCAGGTCCGAAGAAAACCCTCCTGGCACACCTAGCTCCAGGAACACATTTGTCCTTCTCACTGACCTCAGAATAACTGTCCCTGTCCCCATCCCCCTGTAAGCCCTTTGCCTGGCCAGGGTGAGGTCAGAGAAGTCCACATGGGCTGCATCCCCCACACCACACTCAGCTACCTTGGGCTTCCTGGATGTGGTGCTCTCTTTATGAAACTCCCTTCCATAACTGAGGTATTTTGAAGATGCGTGGCTTCTTCTAAGCCACATTATTTCTACACCTTTCACGCCAGCTCTTTAATATGCAAATGAAGTTGTCTGAATGCTCTATCATTGTTCTCATCTCCCACCAACTCTGCTTATGGTCTCCATTGCCACCCCCATGCCACATGCCACTTCAGACCTCAGTGCCTCTGTTTGAACTGCTCAGTCTTAAGGAAGCCTTCCTCATCCCTCCCCTTACTTCCACCTGCCACTTCCTTTGTCCTCATCTGACCTGAGCTCACTTGTCACATCCCTTAGGACACCTTCCATGGCCTTCTTCAGCCAAGGTAGGGGCCCATCTGCCTCCATCGTAGCACACACCATGGTGTGTGTAAGCCCCTTGAGAGCAAGGTCTGTAACTTTGGATCCCTGAGACCCAGCAGGGAACCTGACCCTTGATATGCGTAATTTGATGTCTGTTCAGCTAAACCCAACTATTCAGTTTCACCACTCAATTTCTAAGATGACTGCCTGCCAACAGGAGCCTTTGCTGTCTTTTTCTTACACTGAGAACGCTGATGAGGAAAACAGCTTTTCTGTTGCAAACTGATAAGAATCTCTGAGTGATTGTAGAGGACTTGGCTTTTTGTTTTGTTTTAGTTACATGGGCAGATTCAGAAATTAATATCTGTATTAGAGTCATACAGAAAGGAAACAGAGGCTCAAAAATCTTAAGCAACTTGTCCAGGGCCCCTCAGCCAGAAGGCTGTCAAGACTCCTGGCTCCAAACCCACACAGTTCCTATAAGAACTTGCTGTCCTGCTTTTTAAAATTCTCTGCATGGTTAAAATTTTAAAAGTCAAGCAGTATTAAACATCTTTTAAAAAATCAAAGATAGCTTGTAAGACCCAAATTTGACATCCCCCAGTATAACACACATATTAAGGGGCCTCATTATGTTCTCCTACAGTTATATGACCAAATTGACTGAGCATATTGCCACCACGTGACTGTACGGAAGTGGGACCAATTTTGTATGTGGCTCGCATAAAGCAGTTTTCAACCTTCTGTGTACAATTTGTAAATTTTCTTCTCATCCGTCATCCTGCCATGAGCATAACCAAAATATTTTTAAGTGCTTAAATGGATTTTCATGCCAGTATCAGGTGGCTTTATACATTCTCACGGGGAAATGGGCTAGAATAGAAAAGTAACATTTTGGGGTTGGGGGGAAATTATGTAGAGCAGTTTCAGTACTGTTTATGGTGTTTCTTATGCTTTTCAGAAAGGTAATTCGGTGATTCACTTTTTGTTTTATCCAGAAAGAACTTGTGCATCATCTCTCCCTGATGTCAATTTTCGTTTCAGGTGACTTTTCAGATCACCCCTCCGTGTGGCAGTGAGAGGCACTATGAGCATTTTGGACGATGCTGTAACAAATGTGAACCAGGTTTGTACTCGGAGCCACCTTTCACTGTCCTTCAGGAGTGGGTGGGGCTTTTGTTTATTTTTTTTTAATCTACGGAATGATCCCTATCCTGCCAAATGGAAAAAGAAATTGGATCCACTTTTTATGGTAGTAGCAGGTAGCGCTGCATGTCACTCTGAAGACGAAAGCCTTTCTCTCAATAGGTGAAATCACTTCACAATCAAAGGCAATTTCAGAAACTTGTACTTAATTCATGCTGGAACACAGTTTTCCAAAACACTGTTTCTTGAGAAGGCAAGAAGCTTTTTAAAACCGTATCTTCGCACTTTGTGAGTCAAACTCTCAAAATATGGAATGCAACTCTTATTTAAAAGTATTATTTTCACAGAAGTTTTTGGGGGAATAATCATACTGGAATGGTTGCTGCTGAAAATTGCCTAAACCCTGTAATACCTTCTCCCCACACACCTGCTGAGGGGCAGAAGGTAGACTGGTTACCACTTCCCCAAAGGTGTTCTGCCAGAATGCAGCCAAGTATTTCTGTAGCCCCAGCGAAGTCCCAAGACCATAGGGTCCTCACTCACTCATTGTTCTGGGGAGGGGAGGGTATCCTTGAGCAAAAGGTGGTTACCTTATAACAAGACCCTTTAGATATTTCAGCTCAGATATTTGTTGGATGTCCAGAACCACGGTCCAGTAATTTTCATGCATGTGTGTGTGGGCTGAGTGTGTGTGTGTGTGTGTGTCTGTGTGTGTGTAGGACTCTCTGGTCAAACTAAGTTAACCATGAGCCCACAGTGTATGGAGGATAAAAGAAATTAACTATCCATGTTAACAATAGAGGGGATTTTGAAGATGGGAAGGGAGGGGTGAAATGAAGTTCCTCTTGCTTAGCCCTCAGGGAACCCCTCAAGTTCTGCAGGCATCAGTTTGAAAACCATCATTCTTTTCTTTAGTCCTTTGGGTGGAAAAGGCGATGTTTTGCTTAGAAGAGCTAAAAGACTGCTGTGACCGCAGGCACAGCAGACCCAGGAGAGGTGATGTTAGCCATCTGGGAGGCTTGAGGAGACCGTCACTGTGCCATGTGGCCTCCTCTCGTGTGTCATACTGTCTGTAGGACTTCCTGGGATCATGGTCATGTAAATGATCCAGTAGATTGGTGCATTTTTATTGTTTTGTGGCTTCTTGGGTTTTTTGTGTGTGTGTGTGAGGAAGATTGGCCCTGAGCTAATATCTATGCCAATCTTCCTCTATTTTATGTGGGATGCTGCCACAGCATGGCTTGACGAGCGGTGCTACGTCCATGCCTGGGATCCAAACCTACGAACCCTGGGCTGCTGAAGCAGAGTGTGCAAACTTAACCACTACACCACCGGGCCAGCCCTTTCTTGGCTATTTTTTATTGGTGCATTTTTTCCTCTTCTAATTTAGGAAAATACATGTCTTCCAAATGCACTACTACCTCCGAAAGTGTATGTCTGCCCTGTGGCCCGGATGAATACTTGGACACCTGGAATGAAGAAGATAAATGCTTGCTGCATAAAGTTTGCGATACAGGTCAGTCAGTCATGTTAGTGGGGAGTGTGGATAAACGATGGATTTAGATACCCCAGTGCTGTCTCCTTTTGGGCACATAGGAAGAAGTTTTGACCATGGACCCCCAGAAGGATGTGCTTCAGATCCCAGAAGCACTGTGCTAAAATTCTTCATGCCGCACTTTTGTTCTGGAATATGTTTGTGCTGCAGTTTAATCATGGAACCCATCTTACAGTTGACAAAATATTTCCACAATGTTTCCACATGTATTGTGTTATTAGATCCTCACAAAAACTCTGTGAGGTAGCCATGATTATCCCATTTTAAAGATGAAGAGACTGAGACCAAGAAAGGTTGAATGACTTCTCCAAGGATAACAAATGAGAAGCAGAGCTCAAAGCCAGATCTTCCGACTCTCTTAGCTTTTTCCTAAATCGTCAATGTCTTATCAACTCTATAGTTTGATCTCCTTATCACACTGCTATAGTTTTTTTGCCTGAAATGTTTTTTTAACTGTAATTTATTTGTAGGAATCAGGATCAAAATATATCTCTTAAGTCTCAACCTAAAGGTTCCTTTCTCTCTGTTTTTTCCTTTTTCCATTCAGTTTATCTGTTGAAGAAACCATGTTGTTACTCCTGGGGAGGGTCCAGTCTGATTTTTACTGGTTGCATTCCCTTGGCGTCATTTAACATATGCTTCTGTCTCCTATATTTCCTGTAAAGTGGTTATTAGATCTAGAAGGCTGATGAGAATTTAGTTTAGTTTTGTTTTTGGCAAAACTCCTTCATAGTTGGTGTATTGTACTTACGTCAGGCATCATATAGTGGCTGCTTCTCCCTCTTTTTGTGATATTAGCAGGTGTGGACGGTCATGACCTAGATCCATTTTCATTAGGGGCTGCAGAAAGGTGATGTTCTAATTCGGTCATTCCTTCTTCATTTATTAGCTGGCATGCTTTATAAAGAGAAACTGCCCTCATCAACTATTTGTTACCCTGAAAGTCCTGTATACACAGGAAAGGCAGAATGAATGCTTCTAACTTTATTTACCACTTTTCAAAATAATGACAAGATCATCAAGCTTTCTCCAAAGGATTTATATGAATATTATGAACTCATGCATTTAGACATATTTGAGGTGTTTCTAACCATTGCAGTTTGTGGTTTTAGTGGTGCTCAGATTGTCCCACCTCTTCCAGGTGGCCCCCATGTCTTCTGATACAACCCAATTGTCTTTAAGAGCTCCCTTGCTTGCAGGCTCATCTTGGACATGTCCTGCCCTGGGCCTAGAATCAGCCGTTTCTCCAAGGATTCCTGATTGCTTTCAGTGGAACATCTTATTTGGTGACCTCAGTCTGAGTGCTAGGAGGCTCATTGCTACTGGATTGATCCTTGTTTATAGGTTTTTTTCCAGTGGACAGAACTAGGAAATAAGTATTTCTTTTTAACATCATAATTTTTCTAATGTGTTAGAGAGAGCTGGCAAATTTTGGCAGAGAAGGTAATATGGAAACTCCACCAAACAGAAGCATCTGATTGAGTCTTTTTTTTCTTTCCCACTGCTTAGTAATGACCTTGACTCATTGCTGTCTCTTGGAAATAAAGATTCATTCTGTCTACTGCCAAAATTGATTAAAACATAAAACCTAGTTCATTAAGCTATTTAAAAATATGTCAGAACCGTTCATCACCACACATGCTTACATTCACTTCCATTTGAGTGGGACACTGGAATTAGGATTTTCCAAGGAAATGACAGTTATCCGTGTATGTTCCAGGCATTATGTACACATGAAGGCATATTGGCCTTGGTGCGGCAGAGTTGACCTGGGCCTCGGAGAGTGGACATAGAGGGAATGGAGATTTCTCCAGGTTCCCCTGCTGCCAGAACTTGAGACCGTGAAGGAGGGAACAGGTTTCTGGATTGTTTCTTTCCCCTTGGAGCTCGGACCTAGTCAGCTTAGGCTGTTGTGACAGAATACTGCAAGCTGAGTAGCTTAAATAGCACACGGTTACTTCTCACAGTTCTGGGGGCTGCAAGTTGGAGATTGGAGTGCCTCCTGGTTGGTTTCTTGATAAGGGCCCTCTTCCTCGTTTCAAGACAGCTGCTTTCTTACTGTGTCCTCACATGACAGAGAACAGAGAGAGGAAGAGAGGTCTCTGCTGTCTCTTCTTATAAGGGCACTAATCCCATTCGTGAACACTCCAACCTCACGACCTGATCACCTCCCGAAGGCCCCACTTCCTAATGCCATCACATTGGGGGTTAGGATTTCAACATATGGATTTTGAGGGGTCAGAAACATCAGTCCATAACAAACTCCTATAATTTATTCAAGAATGTAAAGCACAAGGGCCATTTGGACAATCCAAGCGAGACGGGGTCTTATGGGGTAGAAGGTCTACTTTAAATGATGTTGTGTGTGTCGTGTGTGTGTGTGTGCAGTGATTCTCATTGTTCACAGCGGTTCTGTTCTATAAGGTCAGCAAAGACACTGCACCTTGACTCCTAGGACAAATACAGGCTCCTATGAGCTTCTGTCATGACGTTTTTGTCAACCAATCAACACATAACCTTGTTTTATGTGTATTTCTGTTTAAAGACATCTTATTTAATAAGTATTTTGATTTATTAACTTCGAACACACAGCCAAAATCACTGTAACTCCTGCCTGAAGGAAGCTTATCTAGCACACACATTTTCTCCGTAAGACACATCACGGCCTCCGTGCACCAAGGGCCACTAGATAACACTTCACCACTAGGCTTGGGGGCCATTTTAAACAGTGGAATCACTAACAAAAAGCACAAAAATGAAAAAAATATCATTAAACAGGCCACACAAAGGATACTTGTTTCCAGCGTGAGAGCTGAAACAGGAAGGCAGAGTGTCAGCTGGGAACATGCATGTCAAGCAAGTGACTCAAAATTTTCTGACTTGTGTGCATCCAAGGATGACTGCAGAAGTGCCAGGAGGATTGATTTGGGGGCTATGATGAAATTTAGCGAGTAGGTGGAATTGAATATGAATCCGTGAATAATAAAGATCGACTATGTGTGAGCATTTACCACTATTCCACAAAAACTGGAAAGGGCCAGGAGCTGTGGGATAAGAAGGAAAGCCCTTCACTCTGTGTTGTGCAAAAGGAGACAAATAAGCGTGTTATCCTAAGTATCCGGGGAGTGATTAATTTCCAAGTATGTCATCAGGCCCAACTTCTGTACTTTCTCGACTTACCTAATTACACCATGACCCCTGTTTTCATGACTCTGAATGATTCTGTGGCCCTACAGGATCCCAGGATGGATCCCCAGTCTCCAGAAACCCTATCCTCATAGGTCCAATCTAGCATTCGTGTTAAGAATATTTATCACAAGTGAGTTTACTAAAAATCAAGAACCTGTGAAGTCTATTTTGCATTAGCCGAAGTAGTCAATGATCATAAATTTCCCAGTCCTTAATCTTCCTACTAACATGAAAATTGAGTTTTTCAAAAACCACAAGACTCTATTAATTACTGAGAGAAAAAAACCTCCTGGGATGTTTTGGTCCCAGCACAGGAAGTGTGAGGGGAACTTCTGAAACCTAGCGTGCTGAGTGAGTCATCTGTCGGCGAGCGGCCCTGGCGCTGCCTCTGGGTGGCTCGGGGCTGCGTGCTGGAGGGTTGCACGAGGTGGAAGGTGTGTGTCCCTGCTTCCTCCCGCTGCCTCGCCGCCCTGTCTCTCTCTCCCGCAGGGAAGGCCCTGGTGGCCGTGGAGCCCGGCAACCGGACGGCCCCACGGCGCTGCGCCTGCACGGCCGGGTACCACTGGAGCGAGGATTGCGACTGCTGCCGCCGCAACGCCGAGTGCGCGCCCGGCTTCGGCGCCCAGCCCCCGGGTACGCCTCCCATAGTGCCTCTGCCGGCCCTCACCCAATCGTGCGATGACCCCGAGGCCAAAGCCGCCCTTGAGCCGGCTTCCCTGCGTCATTCACGCTCCAGGGAGCCAGGTGGCGCTGCAGGACCTTGAGGGTCCCCAGAGGATGACCCCAGGTCATGGATCTTCCGTGGGAATGTGAGCGCTTGGCTCACGTGCTCATCTCAAGACTCTTGCATCTGTGAAACCTCAGGATCCCCACTTAGGAGGGCACCCGGTAGTGCAGGGGTCCTGAAGCTTTTTTTAACTTGTGCACCCCCTGTCATATTTTTAAGTTGACATCTAAAATTTTTTATTACAAATTTAAAGAGTTGCTAAGGACTTAGTTTCCAGGGAGGTTTAACAGCAGTAACGCGTTTTAAAGTATTCAGTGGAATCTAAACACCATAGCGATTTCATCCCCTTCATCATCTATTTCAAAACGCACTAGTCATCCTTAGCTGTTGGAAATTTTATATAGTTCTTTTCTCTCTTTTGATTCATATCCGTTTTACCTTCCCTACAGAATTTTATGCTATATTTTTATGCTTCGAGAGCTTTTACTAATTACCTTTTCACACTCTTTTACATCAATAAAATAGGCACCTATTTGAAATCTTAATTTTTAAAAATTTCCTGTAACTCAAGGTTCTAAGGGTTAAAAACCTTTCTTCTGGACTAAGTTGTTACTATAGTTCTTATTACACAATTGGTCAAAAATGAATATATTATATTTTGCTATATTATAGCTGTAAAAGTCAAACACAGGATTGGGAGAATTAAAATATTACTTGTTTCAGTTCCTATTGAGGGAAGAGTCCATCCCAGAGTCTAACTGGCGCAGTCCGTCCTTGTTGTCACAGGCCCTGACTTAACCAGACGAGCTTTCTCTTAGAAAAAGTCTGACTTGGTTTTTTAATTATTAGAATAAATCTTCCTATGACAGCCAGCTGCCTTCTGAATTCTGATTCTAAGATAGACAAGGCCCAGTGCCTTTCCGCAAGTTGGGCACCTGCATGATAAAAGGTGCTGCCTCCTTTTTGCTGAATGTCCTCTCTGCCTTCTCCTGTGGGGATGGTGCATTTTTTGGCAATAGGTGGGAGATAGAGGGGGTGAATGGATGAATGAAAATTTCACTCCTGCCCTATCTTGCACTATATTTGAATTCAGAACAGCTCAGCCTAGTCCCAAATACCCTGCTTCTGTTGTCATACTTTGCCCTTAATAGACAGGGAAAGACAGAGGCTGCACTGAGGTGCCCCGAATGCAGGAGTGTGGCCATCACCACTGTTTTGACTTGTTTCTTGGCTCGGCCTCTCAGAGGTTTGGCACCACAGCGGGATGTGGAAGGGTAAGAAGTGTGCCTTCTTTTGAAAAGTGGGAGGAGTGCGAGGGTGGAAGGGAAAAGGAAAAGGAGAACCTGCAGGATGCCCCTGGCAGGTCAGTGTTACGAAGAGTGGACGTGGAAGCCAAGTGTATAGAAATTAATGTCCTTAAAGCTCTGTGTGCCTTGTCACCCCTGAGGAAGTCTCTTTGTTTTTAAGGATTACTCTTCAAGAGGGTGTTTATCTTTTTAAAAGCTGTCTGAATTAATGTGAGTGACTAGACATTAACTGGGCTTTTGTTAATATGGTTTCAAGGCAAATCAAATTGCTAGATTAAGGGGGGAGTTACCTTACTTATTGAGGCAACTGCAGAAATCAAGAATGTATTTCCCACTTGACTTTGGACAAAGAAAATGTAATTCCTTATTTTAGTGTTTTATTCATGAAAATAAATCACAGAAGTGCCACTAATTTCAAGAGTAATTTGTAGTTTGGGGCCCTAGCCAATTGCCTGATTATCATATCACATGGTAGCCAATGTTCTTCTTTATTGGAATTACCAGAGGGTTGTCATGTGTTGGTGGCAGTAAGGATAATGGACATAGGAAATCTGAGATATTTCCTGTTTTGATAGTGTAGTTTTTGAGGAGTATGAAAGAGTTGAAGAAAGCTTACTAACCAGGATCAATTCCTGCTTTCAGTGCTGGCAGGTTTAAGGCAGGTGTCCAAAATCCATCCCACCACTTGTATTTGTGTAAATAGAGTTTTACTGGATCACAGCCACATCCATTTTTTTTTAACATATTGTCTATGATTGCTTTCATGCCACAGGGAATTGTTACAGAGACTGGAAGGCCTGCAAAGCCTACGATATTTACTGGATGGCCCTTTATAGGAAAAGTTTGTTGCCAAACCTTGGTTTAAGAGAACCTGTAGCGTTTTGTTTTTTTTTTTTTTTTAGAAAACGTTGTCACTCCAATACTTGGGCTGGTGAGATTAAGCTGGGCAGAAGGGGTTAGGACAAGAAGTTTCCCTTAAAAACCCTTTGACTTGACTAAAGGGCTGCCATTCTCTGTAGACGAAAGCTGATGGTAAACCCAAGAGGCTAAAAAGGGAGAGCAGACAGACGCCTGGCTAAAACAAGTCAGACAGCAGGCTCCTGGGCTAGGAACAAAGTACTAGTGACCAGGACAGAGGCTCTGAACTGCAAAGGGTCAGGACCAGAGGTCTGGCTCTAACTCAGATACGGACGTTAGCAGCCTGACACTGGGCCTGTTCCCTTTCTGAACACAATTCTGTAACCTACTGCTGGGATCAGCACAGGTTCGTGGGGCCCTCTAAAGCCAGCAGAGGCTGAAGCAATCAGCCGCAGGTGGCAAGGGCGGGGGTGAGGAGGCCAGAGGCAGAGGGTCAGTGGCCGAGCTCTGGGCCTCTGGAACGTCATCCTGGCCGATCTCTAAGTGTCCTCGTTTGTTTTCTGTTTGTTCTTTTGTCTGTTTGTTTTTTTGACAGTGCAGCTCAACAAGGACACGGTGTGTCAGCCCTGCCTTCTAGGCTACTTCTCCGATGCCTTCTCTTCCACAGAAAAGTGCAAACCCTGGACCAAGTAAGTGATGGTGAAGGAGCCAAGAGAGGTGGTTGATTTTAAACAGATCGACCTCCCTGTCTCCTCTGGGTTGAAAACAGACTGATTCACTTTGGTGAGGCTTCCTCTCGAAGCCATGTTCAAAATGGGAAGAGTCTGTCAATTGAACGTGGGCAAAATAAACCAGTCCCACCAATCTTCATCCTGATGTGTGACAAGAACTGTGTGTTACTTTTTAGATTCGGTTTGACTGAATCTTGACTTACCGTGGTAGCTTCTTTTTCCTTTTTCTAACCTTGTTTAGTTGGAAATGATTTATGACATTTATTTTCATTCACTCACCACTCCCACTTTTCCCAGCTTCTCAACACCATTCATTCGTTTGTCCAGAGATTGTGGGTGTGTGTTGTGTATGCGTATGTGGAAGCCCCCTGTTTATATAAATGATGCATCCTGTAAACACGTAATCTATCCTGCAGGAGGCTCGTTCCATGTTAGTTCACTGAGATCTTCATGGCTTTTCATAGCTATGTAGTACTTCATTGTGGAGATGTATCATAAGTTATTTAATAAGTTTCCTATTGATAATCATTTAGGTTGTTTCCAGTCTTTTTGCAATAATAAACAATTTTGCAATGAATCATCTCATATATATACTATTTCACCCTTATGTGAATATATCTATAGTGGAATTCCTAAATCCTTTCATTGCCTGCTGGTTGTTGAATACTAATAATCAATGTAATGATTCTTTCAGTGCCCAATATATTCTTATTAAATATTTATTTTCTGATCCACTTATCCAAGTTTTATGTTGAAAAGATCCTCTGTGTTTTCAACTTCAAAAGAGCATTCATTAGAAGTTTATCACTTAGCCCTAGCAATGGAAGTGTTGGAATCTTCTTTACTGAAAACACCAATCTGGGGCCAGCCCAGAGGCACAGTGGTTAAGTTTACATGTTCCGCTTCGGCGGCCCTGGGTTCACCAATTTGGATCCCTGGTGCAGAACCATGCACTGCTTCTCCAGCCATGCTGTGGCAGGCGTTCCACATATAAAGCAGAGGAAGTTGGGCACGGATGTTAGCTCAGGGCCAGTCTTCCTCAGCAAAAAAAGGAGGATTGGTGGCAAATGTTAGCTCACAGCTAATCTTCTTCTTCAAAAAAACACCAATCTACTCTCTCTGGAACCATATTCTCAGAGTCATTCTTAGAGAACACTGACAGTGGTTACTTTTGTTTATTCTTTTGTCCACCTTTATGATGTGTGGACAGGTGCTGGGGATTCAAATGTCCAGGAAGACCTGAGCTTCTCTCCTGAAGGAGCTAGTAATCTACTGGAGTAAAACCTTGTGTAGCTTTTTTTCCTAAATAAGAATATAAAACCAAAGTACTTAACTACCTTTTCCTCCACAGCTGTACCATTCTTGGAAAGATGGAAGCACATCACGGGACTGATAAATCAGATGTGGTTTGTAGTTCTTCTCTGCCATCAATGAAACCACCAAATGGTATGTTTAAATAGAGCAGGTTGGTTGGTAGATGTGTCCCCATCTAGTCAGCTCTTCTAGATTTCTCCTGAATTACATGCTATATCTAGACGGGTTCATCTCTCCCTTTTCAACTCATCCTATCCATGATCAGCTCAGGATTTGATTTTTATCAGTATTTTAATTCCAGATATGTTATTTACTTGATAATTTTCTACTCTGCAATGGATAACAATAATATAATGTATATCTAATTAATCTAATTAATTATCTAATTAATAATCTAATGATATATCTAACAATATATTCAAATATACAAAAAAAAGAAAGAAAGTTGAGCTGCAAACATAAATTAAAATGCTGAAATATGGTAAGATGGTGGTAGTTCACAGTAGGGGTGTCCATGGGGAAGTTTTGGCTATAAACCAGAGTTAACAACTTATTGGAATATAGCTATTCTTATTTATGGAACATTTTGTAGACAAAATTAATCTTGAATACAGTTTCAAAGATTGACAGGAATTGACACGTAGTGGTGGATGCTGGTTACCCAGGTGAGTGAGATATCTGGAGGCGGGTCCAGATACTGCAGCACAGAGATGGCCTAAGTGGCAAAAAGACCTTTCTGATGAGGCAAGAGAACCTGGGCCACAGAATAATGAGATTAATGAACTGTGGCTGAGAAAATCAAGGGTTTAGGTGTGACATTTTAGGAAACAGGAGGACATCAAAGGGTTCTGGATATGGAGTTACACAGTCAGAGCAGCGTTTTAAATAGACCATTTTGAAGACAATATTAAAAATAAGTGAGGGAATAGAAAGTTATTTTTAAAAAGAGAGAAGGAGAGGAGAGGGGAGAGTCCTGGAAACCAGGTCGTGTCAACCAAGCATTTATAGTGTAAGGTTCTAGCAATGAAGTGATCAAGGGGGATGAAGAAATTGGGTGAGTCCACATTGTGTTGTCGACGGAATGCCTGAAACACTTCACAGATGGCTGCAGTTCTGTTCTCATGACCAGCAAAATCCTGGTGCCGTGTTGTTATTTGAAAAGAAATATGATAAGGAGCTTCCTTTTGCCTCCCAGGCCGTCTAGCTGGAGAGATTGAGGTGTTCTGTAGGTAAGCAAAAATGGAACCGGATGGCATGACAAACATGATTAGGGTTGTTCTAAAGGAGAACCATGTAAAGATGGTCCTGGGCTGGGCTCGCTCGGAGCGATGCCCGGCAGCAGGACTGGGCTCTGTTGCTGAGTCCACCTTTCCGAATGTGAGCACTCTGACAAACCTATGTCAGGGTTCAGAGCTTCACACTTCTCTTATTCCAGACCAACATCCTTGATGCTGGGGTTTGATTTAAAGGGTTTGGTTTTTAAACTTAGAGAGTAAAATTAAAATAATCTTTAATACCGTTTTTTCTCATTTTCTTCCAACACAGAACCCCAGATTTACTTGCCTAGTTTAATTATTCTGCTTCTCTTCATATCTGTGGCATTAGTTGCTGCCGTCATCTTTGGTGTTTACTACAGGAAAAAAGGGAAAGCACTAACAGGTATCGTGTCTATGGTGGTTTTTGAAAACGAATCTTAAAGACAACAATACATTTCTAAGTAAATGCTTTGGAAGATGCATATATTGCCCACGGGTGACCTGCTTACAGTAAGTGCCTGGAGAGGTTGCCATCCTTTTCCATTTTCAGTTGCTCACTGTTTATCTCGTCTGCCTCTGCTTTGCTGTGATTTGACACTTCTCCCACGTTACGCCCATGGGCTTCATGAAACCCTGCACATCTTGCTATTTCCATTGACATTACCTTACCTAATGTAACACTGGGCAATCAAAAGATTAAAGAGAGAAGATGGTGATTGAAGTCACCAGTGTTAAGCAGAGAGCAATGTTTGAATACAAGCCACTTTTTTTAAAGTTTATTCATTTTTTAATATTTTTATTTAATGCAGCTTCACTTCCCTCACAACATCGTAGCTGGGGATTTGAAGAATGCATATGCAGATGATGTGGGTTGTTCATATAGTCATGTTTATATGAGATAAACAGACCTCCAATGTTCTTTAATTTTTTTCCCTGTATAATCTTTTACTGCCCTATCTTATCAATGTGAAGGGCAATGGGCCTACCGATTACTAAGCCGGGATTTATGACTGTTAACTTTCTCTTCATCCCTTCCTTCAACACATGTTTATTGGCCACCAGGGACTTGGCTGGCACTGGGGTCTCAATACTGAGCAACACAAACATAGTGAGTGCCCTCACGGAGGTAGCGTCTCAGTGGGCAAGGCAGGCATTAGGCCCACGGATTGAGGCTGAGTACTGAAAGGGAAGGTGCAGAGCTCCAGGGGAGCATATGACAGGCCTCTTCCCAGCCTTGGGGTTGCCCAGGGCCTCCTAGAGGAGGAGACAGGGCGGCTGAGATCTGAAAGACAGGTTGGAATTAACTAGCCTGAGGAGAGTCAAGGAGAATCAAAAGCATTCCATGTGGAGAGAGTTGCGTGATGGAGGGAGCAGGGCGAGTCGGGACTGAAGGAAGGTTAGTGCAGCTGGAGTAGAAAGCTGGAACCAGCATGAGATTAAACCTGAAAGGGAGGAACAGCCGGAGGATGCAGCCCCGCAGAACTTGCTAAGGAGTTTGCTCCTTATCCTTGTCAAAGGGAAGTAAAAACAGCCATCTCAAAAACCTCTGGTTTTAGTAGTTGGCTATTTCAGTAATTAAAACAAATTTGGAAGTGTGGTAAGAGTGGGTGCAGGCACACCAGTTAGGAGGGCTTTTGCAATCATCCAGGGGAGAAATTATCATAGTACTTATGAAAAGTTATCACGTCTGTGTGCAGATATTTCTCAGTACCATTTGGGATTGTCTAGTACTGATCCCTACAAGGAAAGAGATGCAACCTTCCTTTTATTCAGGGTAACTTTATTTTTATATAATTTCAAAATTATAGAAAAGCAGCAGTAAGAAGAATGACGATGACGGTAGCAATAACTGACATATATTGACTATGTATTCTGTGCCAGCACTGCTATATGCATTTAGAGGTACTAACTAAATCTCATAACAGCAGTTTAAGGAAGGCATTCAATTTCTCCATTTGACAGTGAGGAAACTGAGGCTCAGTGAAGTTAAGTAAATGGGGCAAGGTCACATAATAGGTATCATTAGCTATTGTTATGACTTGATTATCTGCCAATGGAGACTTGACAACTTCCTGACTTCAGTCTTTATAGTGAATTCAACATTAAATATTCAACGGAGGTGGTGTAAAATTTTATCTTTGAATAATATAAGTTCATAGGTTTTTTTTTTTAATTCCTAGATTTGACTTGTTTCATCACTTCTATTTTAAAAAGTTAGTGGAAATATACTTTGTATTTGCCACAGAACGTATCCTTCTTTCTTCTGAGAAGCAAGAGGGTATAGTGGAAAAGGATCCGGGGACCACTGGAACTCACTGGGGTCTGACACAGCCTGCCGGCGTGTGCTTTACTTTTATTGTACATCTGTTTGAGCTAGTTTACTGGAAAGTCAGTCTCCTACGCCCATGTCATCTTTGCTCCTGTACATGCTGAACTTAGTCCCTCGTCGTCAAAGAAACATTGCTGAGGGAGTGAGAACGTCTGTCGTCATAACAGGAGCTCTGACAGCCCTCAAATGTGCCCGAAGGCATTCGACAGAACGGTACTGGATCACATTTTGCTTTACATGGATCAGAAACTTGGGTTTTTTTTGTTTTTTTGTTTGTTTTTGGTTTTTTTGCTGAGGAAGATTCGCCAAGCTAAAATCTGCTGCCAATCTTCCTCTTTTTGTACATGAGCTGCCACCACAGCATGGCCACTGACAGACGGGCAGTGTAGGTCCACGCCCAGGAACCAAACCCGGGCCGCCAAAGGGGAGCACGCCAAACTTAACCCCTAGGCCACCGTGGCCAGCCCAGAAAGTTCTGTTTTTGAGAGGAAGACTAAGATGCCTTCATCGTCTTTAAATTGGTTGATTTTCTTTTCAGTGTTTTCACTCTTAGGAACTCTCCCTGGAAGACGTGCAGAGGATTATGTTTAAAGACAATATTGAACTGACATAGTGGTCAGTAACACTTAATTAAAAATAGGAAATAATCATATGAAGCCCTTATCCTTTCTTTGTTTTTCTAGCTAATTTGTGGCACTGGGTCAATGAGGCTTGCCGCCGCCTAAGTGGAAATAAGGTAAATTTGAAAATCTTAAGTGCCTCCTTCAAGTACTTTTAACAATTAGGCTGATATGGCTATTATTAGTGAAATATTGAGTCCTATTGTGTAAGGGGTACTTCCTTGAAGAGATGGACCCTCAAATCCCAGGGTTGATTCCCACAGAATAACCCAAAGCCCAAGGTGGTACTCATCCTAAATGCCTGTTTTCTTTGTATTTCATTCCACTTCTGTCATCTCTGTGTACGTATATTATTTATATTATTATTTTGGTGCCAGTCGTGATTGCCTAGTACAGATTCCTAGGAGGAAAGAGCTACCACTTTCCTTTACTCTGTAGTTATTTTGGTAACTTTTAATTTTGATGTAATTTCAAAATGATACATAAGTAGTAAGAATAGTACAGAAAATTTCCACATATCCTGCATTCAGATCCACCATTTGTTTCTACTTATGACATTGCTTTATTATTTGCTCTGTGTGTGTATGTATATTTTTTTTCTTGAACCATTTCACAGTGAATGGCAGATACCATGCTCCTATACCCTTAAATACTTCAGTGTGAATTTCTTCAGAACATACTCTTATATAACCATAGGCCATTTATCAAAATCAAGAAATTTAGTAGTAGTACAATTACTATTATCCAATCCACATTTGATATTAAAATTTCATTAATTATTCCAATTATGTCCTTTAGATTTGTTTTCTTAGGTATAAAGATACATAAATTTTAGGCCGTGTGCTCATACTATGTCCCCAATTCCAGTCGCAACACCACAGAATTCATTCTAGTCTTTCCCTCATCTGTATTTGAATCTTCCCTTTTCCAACAGTATGAACCAGGCTCCCATTTTTCTCAGTATATTTACTCATTTGCTCAATTCTAGAATACACAGAAAGTAGTTTCAGAATTACTAAACCATATCACAGCAAAAAACGAAGCTACTAACTAGATGCAATATTTGTTTATGTTTTTTTAAAATTTTAGGTTGAGAGTATAGACAAAATACTGTGTTCTAAAGGTATTTGGGATAGCTCTTCCCCTTGCTTCCGTGGGAACATGCCATTCATTTGAAATACAGTTAGATTCATTGGTTTCTGGTTATATGCCATTTTAGGGTTCCCTCCCACTCTGTAATTTTAAATAACACAAATAAAGTGCCATAGTGAGTGTTCCATCTGTACTTGTTATGGTGGAAATAATTACTGTAAACACCATTTCAGCTGTGTTTAGCAGAACCATGTTCTAATAACTCTGGGTATTAATGCTTCTGTCTTCTGAATTTAAATCAGCAGGAGTCCTCGGGCAGCAATTTTAGCAGCACTCACATGGAAGCCTCCAGCCAGCGTGAAATTCGTGAAGGTGTCTTACTGCTGACTCTGGAAGAGAAGATGTTTTCTGAAGACATGTGCTGTCCAGACGATGGTGGTGTCTGTGGGGGCGCGTGTGCAGACGGTAGTCCCCGTGCACGGGCAGAAGACGCCGGGATGCTCACCTTGATCAGCGAGATTGAGGGGGACCCCTTCAGGCAGATTCCTATGGAAGACGAATACGTGGACAGGCCCTCCCAGACCCCAGACTCTTTACTGTTCCTCACTCAGCCTGGAAGCAAATCCACACCCCCTTTCACTGAGCCCCTGGAGGTGGGGGAGAATGACAGTTTAAGCCAGTGCTTCACTGGGACAGAGAACATGGTGGATTCCGAAAGCTGCAACTTCGCCGAGCGCCTGTGCAGGACTGACTGGATTCCCATGTCCTCCGAAAAGTACTTGCAAAAAGTGGAGGGTGGCAATTGCCCCCATTGGGCAGCCAGCTCCAACTCTGCAGACGGCTGCACAGGCTGCGGGAACCCTCCTGGGGAGGACCGGGAACCCCTCATGGGTTCCCCGAAAAGTGGACCCTTGCCCCAGTGTGCCTATGGCATGGGCCTTCCACCTGAAGGTGCCACTGACGGGGCAGAGGGAGCAGGCCAGCCCGTGGATGGGGCTGATGTAAGGCTTCCCAGCTCCACAAAGGGAGGCCCTGGGCCAGGAAGCCCCTCCAGTGACCAGCTACCTGCATCTGGTAAGTAGCTCTCCTGGTCTCTTGCTTCTAAGCAAAGAAGCCTGTTGTTGGTGCAGTGTTTGGGGGCAAATGTCACAGACCGTTTAGGGAAGAGGGAAGCGAACGTGCGAAAAATTCAGCTGGAGCATTTTCTCCTGATAGGCCTCTTTACAGGATGGGTTTTCAGTCCACCCACTGGGTTTGTGGGTTGTGCCCACTGCTGTGTGACTTATTCCTCTGCCCCTGGGGCTGTCTCTTCATTGATACTTAGCTGAGGCCCTCCTGCAATCAGGCTTCTTGTGACGGGATTAGACCTCAAATCCCAGTATTGACCCTCTGAAGACAATGTCAACATTGACCTCGGGCTTGGCTGAGATTTCTGGATTTTGTTTTTGTTTTTTGACGCCTCAAATCCACCCCCCCCCAAAAAATGTGTTATAGATTTCAGAAGGACAAACAAAATTGTTTAATCTTTAATTAATATTTATTGAAATTAACTTGTTGGTTCTATACCAAATTAATGATGCAGTAAACCATCCTTTAATGCTTTATATGAGAAACCTCTTTTATAACCACTGAGTATAATATATTTATGGAACCAGGAAGATAATTTTACAGTTTAAAATCATAATAGAGATTTATCACTGCCCCACTGCTTGAGCGTGAATAGCCCACCAATTATAATATTATAGCTTTTTCTACAAAGGTAGAACACCATCTGTTTCATTATGTAGTCACAAGGGACTTTGCCTCTGATGCTGAAGGCTTCCTCCGGCTCTGGGGGATTATGGTCTCTTTGAGAATCTTCTGGACGCTATAGACACTCTCTCCAGAAAAATGAAAATATGGATATATACTATTTAATGGGCTTCACAGAATCCTCCCACCCTCTAAACAGAGTGCATTCATGGACCACCTTCATGCTGGGATGCTTTTTATTTTTTTCTTTCCTGCCTTTTTATTTAGACAGCGAGTGGTGCTAGCAGCTGGTCTTTGAGTTATTTTATAACCAGAGGTAGCTAGATCCCTGCCCGCAGCTCAGAGACTGTTTGGCCTCACGCTGATGATGGCCCCTGGCTTCTTTGGTAGAATAGTGTACTTTAATCTGTTTTCCAAGGTCTGTGGTTTTGCTGCAACTACACAAATTCACTGATGTGTAAATTCTATAGTATAAATTCTCAAACTGAAAGGAGGGGATACGTTTAGGGATATTTTTCAAAGAACTGATGTGTTTTTCCTTCAGAAAACGTCAACTTTTTTTAAGATTTTAAGGAATTTCTGTGACTAAAAGTTTGGCTCCATTGTTTGTTTGCATTGTTCTGTTTCTTTCTTAGCAGTTGCTTGTCTTCCCGTTGGGTATAGAGACACACAGAAGGCTAGTGTTTTGGGGGCTGTGGGGAGTCCGAAGCTCAGTGGGGCCGTGGCTGTCTTGGTAACACTGCCAGGGGCAGGCTGGTTTTTCCGGTGGTGACACCAGGAAGGTGACGTTTGCCACAGTATGAAAATCATCAGCAGTTCTTGGAAGAATGGTACTGGCCAAATTTAAAGAGATTTTTTTTTTCACTTAGTGTCATAAAACCAAAAGCCAGATCTGTGCTCCCCTGTAAAGGGTTAAAAAAGTGCCCTAGTCTGTTTTTCATTATCTTTTATTTCTCCAGCACTAAACATCTAGGCATGGAGGAAAGAAAAAAAAAAGTGTGTCATCAACTAAGTGGTGTTAATTTGCGGAAAGTTTACACTGCTTTTTCTGTCTTCTTCTGGTGCTTAGCCATGCAGAACATCCGTAGAGAGCCTGCCCGCGGACGCCGGCAAACGGGCCAGATTCATTTTCGCCCGAGGAGAAGCAGCAGCCAGACTGATTTTGGAGGCTGTGCTGTGCTCTCCATAATTACTTCGACATGAACAGGCCTTCTGGTTTCTGGTCAAAATAGCACTTTTTCATTATTGCTTTTTTCAAAAACTGTCATAATCTGTGTTCTATAAAATGTGTGAAATAGGATGGAGCTTGGGTGGAAGGTAAGAGGGGGGGCCTGATCCTATTTGATGTCCTAAAAGCCACTGTGCTCTCAGGACCTGAGGGAGGTGGGCTTTTTATTGGGTTTTGGATTTTGTGTTGTTGCTTTTTTAACTCACAACCAAATCAAGTGGTTTCTGGAGAAATGACAGGATTGGGGACCTCCTCGGTAGGGAAGAGTGTCTCCTTTGCACCCAGCATCCTTTTGAAGAGAATGATGATTCTTGAAACAGCTCCACCAATACCCAACATGAAGGCTATTTTAGCAGTGGTATAACCCTCAAAGCACAGTGAGAATTACTAGCAAAGACCCAGAAAGGGGAAAACATACCTTTGGTTATGTCCTAACATAATCATGTCTTCATTTACCTCTTAAGTATTATCCTGACAACTCGGTGGTGGTTACCTTGGTTACAAGCCCATTCGCCTTGAGTCTGGAGAATTCTCACTGTATCCAGAAAATTATTTCATGGGAAAGAAAGAACGATTTCTTATAATTAATGTGTCTCTAGTGGGCCAGTGACTTGCTTCTGGCCCCTGAAATCACTTAATTGGTTCAGCTGCTTCTGAGCCGGAGCGAGTTGTTTATTTACTAGGCCCACAATGGTTCTTAACACCAGCTACACATTGTTTTTCTATCAAATTTTATTGAGGGTCCACTGAGCCATGGAGACTTGGAAAACAAATAGGGATTGAGCTCAGGGAATGGACAATACAAAAAGAATCAATAATTTGAGAAAGCAGAGCCTTCCACGGCACGCCCCTCTCTAACCTGCAGCCTGTTGTGCCCCTTCATCCGCTCACCCACCAAAGATTTGGCCAAAGCCAGCCACTTTTAGTGGGAACAGCTCTCCCTGGCCTGCTTCTGCACCGTGACGTGCTTCCCTTGTCTCCACATTGTCCCTTTTTCAGCGCGCCCACTTCCTCCTGTCTTTCAACTCTCAGCTCAAATGCTACTTCCTAAACCAGGAATGGCAGGTATGCCGCCTGTGCGGCCACTGGCCCCTTCCGTGCCCTCAGCAGCCCTCCCTAACTCATCTTGGAGTCTTTCTCACTGAGCCTAGCACACTCACTCCTTTCTCAACATCCCGTCTCTAGGCAGCCACAGCCATCAGTAGGAATTTCCATGACCTTCGCCACACCTGATCTTTCTAGTCTCTCCTAAGGTGGCTTAGTCACAGTATGTTAAGAGAGTAGATGTTTATAAGCTCATTCATTCATTCATCCAGTCATGAATAACTAGAGGAACAAGAGACCATAGCTCCCTGTTTGCTCCCTAACCCATTCTCAGCCTCCCACTTCTTCAGTCTGTTCTGGGGAGCTGGGGGCCAAGCAGGGGATGAAGGGACTGGCATTAGTGCTCCTGGGCAGACCTAGATGTCCTGGGTAGAGGAGGCAGAGACGACGGAAGCAAAAGCAAACTGGTTCATCCAAATGGCGATACGCCAAGGCCAAAGCCTGGGAGGCAAGGACACTGAAGGATGAAGGGAACCTGCCCGACCCCATTTCTCCCCCATCCTCAGTCTCCATCCCTGGGTCCCACTCTGTCCTGAAATGACAGTTGTTGACCATCTATTTACATCCTGAAAGGACAGATAAAGGTTTTCCTGCCCTAATTTTCTTCCCCTTTCCTTGCCTCACCCCAAAGAATGGCTCGTCCTCTGTTTCTAACTTTCTTCTCTCTCCTGTTGAAATGCCATCCACTAACTTGTGTTTCACTTTTAGCTAAGTGTGGTACAGGCAGGTATTAGCTCACTGACTCTGCAAGTTAAAAAAGGTCTTATAATTTGGTTTTTGGTAATAATATTCAGCATTCATTAGTGCTAAAAGTCAATGCATTACTTCAAAATATATGAAAAATGTGTTCACTGTATATTTTGTTTACTTTAGTCCTGCTTGCCTTCTTTCTGTTCTAATGGGGCTCATTTTGGAAGGGTTTCCTTCGTACGCCATTCTAAGTAATTTTCAAGCATGATTCAGAATGGAACTATTAAATACTGCTTCCCTTCTCTTATCGTCATATACCCAGTTTCTTCCAAATGCCTAAAACAGAGCTTGCATTTCCATAAAAAGGAAAATCACATGAGAAGCATATGGGTTAAATATAAAATAAGTTTTTAAAAAATTCCAAAAGAACTCAATGTAGCCTGGGTAGTTTGAGTGTATTTGTGTATATTTTTAGTTCTGTTCCTTGGAAGAAAATCTACATGACAATTGGGTGGTATTACTTGCTATAGTTCTTGTGATTTAATATTCATGTATTTTAAACAACATAAGCTTTTGAGAAGAGAAGTGTGCATTGCCTTGCTTAAAAATGTAAATTCTGTCAGGAATTGAGTTCTTAAAAGGAAGCTTGTTCTCTCTGCCTGAGAAATAAGAGATTCCACGGAGCCCACTTTGTAAAGCATGGACTTAGCAAAATATAAACACCTTTCTGGTCACGATGGGGCACTTCATTTATTATTATTTCTGTTGACTTAAATGCTATTTGTAACTCTCTCAAGTTACTTGAAAATTTTTCTAGTTAAGTCACATTAAATATTAATGTTAAGTCAACTAACCCATTTTAAAGGTTAGAAACTCTTCAAAATTTCTAATTAAAAAAGTCCTCACGTAGGGGCCGGCCGGGCTATGCAGTGGTTAAGTTCGCATGTTCGACTTTGGCGGCCCAGGGTTCGCCGGTTCGGATCCTGGGTGCGGACACTGTACCACTTGGCAAGCCATGCTGTGGTAGGCGTCCCACATATAAAGTAGAGGAAGATGAGCATGGATATTAGCTCAGGGCCAGTCTTCCTCAGCAAAAAGAGGAGGATTGGCAGCAGTTAGCACAGGGCTAATCTTCCTTAAGAAAAAAAAACAAAAATCCTCATGTCATTATGGCTCTCAAATCATACTTTTGACTAGCCTTCAAATAGAATTCTATCAGTCGCCTGTGTTCAGAGACGTGTAAGACCGTGTTGACATCCTGAAGGTTATATTTTTATCAATGACATTATAGATATTAGTT